TAAATATCCATTTATTGACTTTTTTATTTACATTTGTTTATGGAATTCTCATATTTTTTTATAAATATTAGACTATAAGATGAGTAAAATCGCACTGGGTTTGCTGGATTTGGAATTTTTTTATAATTAGTTATGAATTTTCAAAGTTTGGTGATTTAATGGAATTATTAAATTGCTTAATTAGAGGAGTTTTGTGATTTTTGCACCAAATCAATTTTAAACGTTTTGGAACCTTTCCCAAATATTATTAATGACTCTTACGGGTGATCCCAAGTGTTTTGAACTATTTTAGTTTTTTTAATTATTTTTTATTATTTATTTTGAGTAATTATTAAATTTCCTTAATTATTAAATTTTGATCAATTTTAAGGGTTGATGATAAAGTTTTTATTTTTCTATGATCAGATATTTAATTATGAGTAATACACATTTTAATTTATATTAAACTAATTATGACTTAATTAAGATCCTATTTCAATTATGTATGCTAGTTTTGGGTTAACTAGATAGTACACCAAATGGTGTCCAAATACAATGAAATTTAAACCATGGCTTCACTAGACCCCAAGGTTGAAGCCCACTAAATTTGGTTCCTTGGTGGACCCTCCAAGATGATTTAATTAATTACCTAAGGAAAACATACATGAGTGTTTAAGTGAGAATTTACAAAAATACCCCTAGGAGTATTACTAAAATAATTTTAATTTCATACATAATCAATGCTTGAAGCCATATGTCTTTTATAGGTCTCCTCAAGACCTTAATTTGCAATGAGCCTAAGAACACCCTAATTAGACAAGTTTGTGAGGAGTTATTAATTTTCAAAGTTTGTTGTATTTTCTATGAATTTTTAATTAGGGATTACACAGTCAGTAATCCCTTTACGTGCGGTACCATTTGTTGGCTGGCTAATGATTGGGCCATTAACAGTTTTACATGCTTTTATCACATCAGTTCGATCCATAATCCTATGGTTGTGATTAAATAGGCTCCATAACCACAAAATTTAATCTAAGCCATTAATCGAAATCAATGGCTTTGATTTCATTCTCCACCTCCCGCGGGCTTCCTAAGCCGTGGAGCTTCTCCAACATGATCCGAGAGATATCATCGTTGAACTCGCTTCAAACTTCATAAAGAGCATCAGAGTGTTAGAAACCTTCAATCCAATGGTCAAATTCCATTGGTTTGAAGGTTTGTTTCACACTTATGCAAACTACCTAGTTAGGGAGCTCAAAATTAGGGAATTACTTCAAAGAGAACTCCAAATGCTAACACTTGAGTTCAGTCATGTTCGTCTAAGAGTGGGGATGCTTTATTCTTTAAGGACCATGATTGGAGGAGTACCCAAGGTGGGACTTCGAGTGAGAGCGAATGAATTTCACCAGAACTCACTCGAGCCTACCTTTGGAGATCATTGAATAGTTAGGGAAGCTAAGGGGAGTTTCGTGTAGCTTTGGGGAACAATTTTGAAGGTTGGAATTGAATTAGGCAGTCTGGGTTGTGATGCCTTACTCAGACCTCATCCATGGAGTTTAAATAATTGGGATAATCCATGTTAGCTCTTTATGATCGCCACCGACCATTGGGTTGAGGTGGAAAGATGTCAAGGAGCTTATTGAACCCAATGATGAGGCAAATTGGGCATGGTTGAGCCTAATCATGGAAGATGGCTTGTGTAGGACATTTTTGGAAGGTTTGGTCTAGCAAGGGTCTTGATCCAGGTTAAGCAAGGGCTGGGCTGACCATGGGAGGTGCATAGGAGCTAGGGCCACTCAATGCAAGAGCCAATTGGGCTTATTGAAGCCTAGGCTGGAAATTGGCTCAACCCAAAGTGATTTTGGTCACTTTGGGTTAGCCTAACTCCAAGCCCATGTGGACTCAAGGGGTGGGCCACTTAGGGTAGGTGCATAGGGTTATGGGAGACTTAATGCAAGTGTTGGTTTGGTTTAATTGGACTTAGTTGAGATTTAGCTCAAGTGAAGTCTTTTTTGGGCACCTGGGTCAAGTTATATGGCTAACCCAAGTGGGCCCAAGGGTTGAGTCACCTATGGGAAGTTCTTATGGACCTAATGGGCCATCCCAAGGCCTCAAATTGATTTTTTTTATGCTTAGAGCATTAATTTTGAATTAGATTTAGGTATATGGTTCATTTAGTCTACCATGGTTAACCTGGGAAACTAAGTTTGACCAAAGATTGGGGTTAGGTCTAACAAGTTTAAATTGATATTTTTAGCTCAATGGATGTGCTCTTATGTAATGGGAAGGTCATTTGGATTAAAATGTATGTTTGAACTCTCCAAGGGCTATTTGATCAGCTATGCTTGGCTTGGTCAACCACAATTAACTAAGGCTTGAGGTTGGGCTCATTCACTTTCAAATGACATTTCAAACTTATTAAAAGAGGTCTCATGCAAAGAGGGGGTTTTTAAGTTCACAATGTACATTGAATGGCTTAAGGGGCTTTTGGGTTAATCATGGTTAACTTAGTCAACCGAGGAAATCGAGGTTGACCAAAGTTTGGGTTTAGTTTAAACACATCCCAAATGATGTTTGGAATGCTTTGAAGGAGTTTCTAACTTTTGGTTTTAATGAGCCATGTTAAAGTTTGTGATAAGGTTTGATTTTAGTGTTTTTTTGGGGTTTTGGACTCAATTAGACCCATGGTTAATTAGGGTCCACCAAATGTTCAATTTTGGATTTAACATATCATTGGAATGATCATGAACATGTTCAAGGGTTTTAGAGAGGGTCCAACAGTCAAATTTCACAAGGTACACAGTCCAGTAGCATATGCTATAAATATTTAAAGGTTTTATATCCTTTGGAATTCAATGTAGTTTTGGGGGTTAAAGAGCTTGGATTTCTTTAAAATTTGGAGGATTGAGCCTAGGGACATACCTGATCATTATGCAATTGGAAAATCATGAATCCAAAGTCATTTGATTTGGGTTTGAAGTGATTGAAAAATCACCCAAAATAAGTTATGGGACATAGGCTTTTGGCCTTGACTTTTGGCTTGAGATTTTGGATTTGGCTTTGGCTTTGAACTTGGATGATTGAGTTTGATTTACTCATACCAATAGAAATGGTTTAGGTGATTGTTAGTGATGGGATAGAAGATACCAAATGGTAGCCACTAGATGACTACTACTTGAGGTGATTTGGGTTGAATTTGGATTTGAGTTTGAATTTGAGTTTGGATTGAGATTGCTTTGTGTTTGAATTTGGTTTTGATTTAATTAACCTCATATTAAAATGATGTCAACAATCACATGGTTTTATGAACTTAGATCATGATTGGGTTGATTGGGGTTTCTCTAAGTATAAATATAAGACAATTGATGTCCAATTGAGCAAGTTTTTAGAACGATGTTTAGTTAAGTAGGTTTGTCGATTATATACATAGAGAGTTATAAATAATTATCGATGCACTTTGAGACCTCCTTGACTATGATTACTCTCAGGGGTGAAATGTAGGTGTATGATTAGTTTAATAAGCCATACACGATGAGCATGTAGTGAGTATATGAGTCGTTGAGGGTGTGAGATCAAAATGGTTTGCACAAGCAACTTGACGTGAGAATGGCTGTAGTTATAGGTGGGAGGCAGTAGTAGGGATCAACATTTGTTCTCTCGATATCACTTAGTGCCCTACGAGAGAATGATAAGTGAATAAAGGTAAAAGAAGAAATGGAACTATTGGAAGAGGAAGAGAGAGAATAAGAAGGATGCGTAGAGAAACTTAATTGAGAGGAATATAAATAATACTACTATCCAATCAATCCATATTTTTTAGAAGCTAAGACCCTTTTATAAACTCTACCTCAAATACCTACTTCTAATTAATCACTATTAAGAAAGAAATAAGTGAGCATATTATATGGTATAAAATAATTTAATGATATTGAAATTATATTAACATGTGTAAAATTAATAGGGAAAATAAAATCCTACCAATTTTAAATGTGTAACATCATTTATTAAAAAAATAATTATGTGAGTATTAAGGCTTCATTTGAGACAACCTTATTACTATTTTCTAAAGTCACTTATATATATATAAACTTTATAAATTATTTTGTTAATAAAAGTCTTTTTAGAAAGTAGTAAGAAAGTTTTCCTAAACTTTATAAACATAAGTTTTCCTAAATAAATATTTATATTTTGATTTTTTTAAGATAGAAAGTTTTCCTATCTTAATTCTTATTAAATCAATTGTTAATCAACAATAAAGGCGCTGAAATTTGGTTTATCTATCAAAGAAAAAACCTTCCTGCTCATACGGCAAAAATTAACCTTTTTTAGTCATTATTATCAATGAACTACAGCCCGAAACCACCGCAAAGTTCCAGAAATCATCGAGAATACGGTAGCAATGCACAGCCATGGAAGCAATGGATCGTGCCAATCAGGCCAAAGTCCAGGTAAGTCCTTCTTCTTCCTAATCTCCACTACCAAGCTTTGCGACATCTCAATCCACCGGCGCTAGCCGTGCCCTAGTCTTTACCGGCGGCCAATGGTTGAAAATGGATGAGAGAACAAAAGGCGCGATTTACGCCCTGAAAAAAGCCATTGGTTACGGCCTCCTTGTTCGTCGTGATTGTGACCGGAAGATTAGATACTTCCAAAATCGAATTTTGATGTATTCGCAGTTATTTTATTTTCGTTCACGTAATCCACGCGTGATGATGTTATATCTATTATGAGTGATATCATATTAATTTGTGTTACTGTTCTGTAGGTGAACGTCTCCTCAAGTGGAACTGATTATGACATGGTCTGGGTAAAAGGTATTTGGCTTCCTCTTTTTTAAATGGTCTTCTGTTCGTCCGTTTGGTTGTTCCCCGATCCTTTTGTATTTTATTGATAATCACTTTCAAGTTTCAAAAGTGGTTTTCATTTTTATTTATTAGTTTTTCTTATCAGTTATTTATTTTAATAAGCCATGTTGCGATGAGGATAATGATGATAATAATTTCTAATTTTTAATCAGGCCTCACCTTTATGGAAACAAACTATCAAATTTCCCTTTTTTCCCCTTATAATGGAGAAATCATTCCATGCGGAGTCCGGATGGTAAAGAACCGTCCTTCTGGTTCTCTTTACACTGAGTATAATTTTGTACATAGTTTGTTTTTTTTTAATACGCAGTATATATAAATACTGTGTACACTTACATCCGGACGATTCTTTACCGTCCGGACTCCACATGGAATAATTTCTCTTGATAATGACGTGCTACTGCTGCTTCTGTTGATTTTATTTCTGAGGACATGAATTGTGAATTGACTTATTGCAAATTAGATTTTGTTTTGTAACTGAACTAAATATGTTTATTTCAGCGTTTTAAATTCCATGCTTTATCATCAGCAAGTAAAAACGGCCGATTTTAGCATCTCAAATTCCCAACTGTGCATGATTATGATTTGATATAATCTAAATTGCAGCCCATTTTTAAGTTACTCTGCAGAAGGTAATAGAAAATCAAAATAAACAGTAACTTGTGAAATTTGTGAAACTTATTGCCTTAAAGATCAACATTTCGGCAAAAGAGATTAAATAAAAGTTGATTGAGTTGAAGCAAAATATGTATTGAATTCCATTTATAAATGGATCTTAAATACAAATATCTTAATTCTTACACTCAAATTTTTGAAAAAGATGCTGTTTTTATCAATGTTTGGCATGAAAACTTTCTATTTTAATTTTCTATAATATTCTGTATCTTGATACGTGTAGAGAGAACTAGAACTTCAGGGAAATAGGTACTATGGACTTATATTTTCTGTAGGAAGAGAGTTCAAACACCCCCATTATATTATCTGTTTAAACTTTCCATATTCACGTTGTTTTTTTTCTGTCAGTTCTGCTTTGTTGACTAAATTGACTACTTCTAAAAAATTCTGTATGTGCTTATTTCAATAAGCTGTTTCAGTAGAATGTGCTTTGCATCTGCTCTTTGTGAATCAACTTGCTTTGCATCTCATATAAAAGAAGAACGTTGTTCTGCATCTTACAATTGCGTAAACAAGAACTATATGTATTCTCAGTTGAGATGCGAGCTTCCAACAAGACCTTATAAGTTCAGATTAACTTTAGAAGAATGGCCGCCAAAAGTGCACTAAATTATGAAGACACTCAACTCCTAGCTTATCTGTGGTCTTGCATCACTTCATCATCATAGCATCAGTATTTAACAAGACACCATATACTGCACTTTTGGTGAAGTTATGTCTTGTGTATTTGTTTAGTTAAGCTAATTGATTATTAGCAACCTTGCACATGAGCTGAGATAGTTTGCTTCTCAATTAACTCTTCTTATGGCTCGCTTAGTTGCTTGTAGATATAAAATATGTTTTGAAAAATGAAAGTTTCTTTTTTATATATTTTGAGGATTGCAAGAGTGAATCAATGTTTATGGCTTTATGCCTAATGACATCCGATCAAATAATTAATTTAATGAATTTCATCTTGTTGTAAAACATTTGCTCAAACATCAGGCAATCAAATAAGGCCTTACATAATTGAATAGAAAACCTTATTTTTGGCTTCACAATGACCACTTCTTAGATACTTGAATACAAAAGCATTTTTTGCTAAAGTGCTTTTCTGCAATTTAAAAGACATCAAATTAGATTTGAAGAATTTTTTTTTTCAAAAACAACAATCAATGAAGAGAAAGCTAATAGTCATAATGCAAGTTTATGTTAGACTGCCGGTTCATGGACCAGTTTAGCTGACCCTAGGAAAGGGGCCGGCCATGGTTTACTCAAGGCGAACCAAGGGTCCGCCGTCCGCCCAAGCTACAGTTGGGGGGCAACTATTTGAAAATTGAGGGAAAGGAGGGAGCGGCTAGAGAGAAATTAGGGTTTCATGGTTGTTTTGTCCTTTTGCTTTATTATTTGATTTACTTTAAGTAGATGAGGGGAATTAGGGTTAGGGTTATCTTGTCTTTGCTAATTTTGGTTTGTACTTGATGTTCTTGGGCTCTAGTGACGTCTAGAGAGTTGGGAGAGATAGATCCTCCTCTCGAATTGAGGATCAACTATATCTTAGTGTGTTCCTTTTGTTTCTCATCCAGTTTGCTATTTTTCTCTCGGATTTGTTGGAGTCTTATGGTGAAATATTGCTGAAATATTAAAATTGATAAGTTCCACTTGAGTTCCACAAGTGTTTCATATCAAATTGGTATCATAGCAATGTCTGGGCTGTTTTTGGTGAATTCCTGTAACAGTTCTTGCTATTTTGAGTTGTTGATTGCTATTTTTGGGGGACGAAATTCAGATTTTTTAGGGTAGAAGGTGGATGTTTTAGAAGAACTGCTTGAGGGGGAGATGTGCCAAATCAAAGTGACGGTGGAGGATAGAATTTCCTCCATAGAAGGCAAATTCTCTGATCTTCAAGAGATGGTGAAGAAGATATGGGATCATCAAAACAAAACGGCGGCATCGGAGGCAAGAGTGTCGGTAGGGAGAAATACGAATTCTGAAATTCGTAGGGATGAAAATGATGTAAGGATCATAGAGAGAAATGGGAGAAGGCCCTATCTGGAATATTTCCAGAGAGAGACAGAGGTTGAAGGTATGGGGAGAGACGTGGATATGAGGGTTATGAGCAAAGAGGTAATGTGCACTGTGTAAGAGCATTAAGAAACATGTAAGTGCATCATGTAAATATCCAAGAAATATATAAGTGCACTGCTCGAATGTACCGTGGAACGTTAAAGTGCGCCTTGCAAATGTATCAAAAAGTGTTCGTGACACATTGAACCATTGAAATCAACTCACTTGTACTTTGATCAATTCATTGAATGCTTAAATCCTAGGTTTGAAAATACTGTGCAAATTAAAATGGAATGGATTTTTAGATTTGGTTTACCTCAAAATGCATGCAAATATTTTGAAATCTTATAATTATATAAAAAAATTCAAACTCTTTTTTTTAAAAATTCAACCGCCAAAATATCAATATTATATGCACGCTCTCAAGTGGGCTGCTCTGCTTATAGGACAGATTCATAAGTTTCACATTTATGGTCTGATTTTCTTTCTTGTAAGGACTGGAGTTGATATAATAAGTTTTAAATGGCATACCATAAATCCTATTCTCATTAATGAATGTACAATTTAAAAATCTACGGTGATATTTTGTTTTACATCTATATTAGGCTTGTAATATCTTTTGTAAAGAAAAGTCATTATAAAATACAAACTCTTGAGTTTACTACTCGTATGACAGCTCGTGAAGTTAACATTGAACTCTATACGTTATTAGCAAGTGTGCAAAGTCGACAATGTTCAAATAACAAAAAATAAAATAAATCTATGCACCTTGGTAATTGTTCGTGTTGAATATAAATTTTACTCAGAGGGGACTATATACAACAACATTAAGCCTTTGTCCCACTACGTGGGGTCGGCTACATGAATCCTTTTTCGCCAATTTTTTAAATGATTCATGTCATGATTATTCTACAAGTTTTACGCTGGATGTCGACTACCTAATCTAACCCTCTACTTTTCTCATCCAGGACTTGGCAGTGTTAAGGGGACTATAAAAGCCCTTAAATTTTTATCTAATTCTTTTTGCCTCAAATTCAAGTAAAAATTTAAAAGCATCAAGAAATTCACAAAATTTAAATCATTCAAGCGAAATCTATTGCGTACAAACTTAAAGCAAAAATATATCCATCATTCGTAACCGTTTGTAGAGATTGACAAATTCAAAAAGAATATCATCTTACAAATGGTCCATTTAGTGTCATGCTTATTGCTATGATTCATTTTCAAATAATCTATCGTCAATAAAGACGTGATACGTATCATCTAACTAATAGTTTTGCCATTAAATGGAACTATAGGTAGACGATTATAACCATAGCCCTTTAATCGGGTGATTTTGCCGCAAAATGACACCGTTAAATTGAGGTTGCGATTAGAGCCCAGAAGTTTTCCAATGGCTAAAAGACTCTTAAGTAATGAATCACATGGTGTAGTTAATGGGGCATAAAGCCCTCTATTAAGTGAGGTTTATCTAAATTTGTTCCATTAGAAAAATATTAAGGTTCACTTGGACAAAACAACTCATGGCTACTTATAAGAATCTTTTGGTCAAGTTGGATTGATTACCTCCTTTGACTAAGTAGATTAGGGATGATGACAACATGGGATAACGAAATAATGGGATCATAATCGGGTTCAATCGGGTTCATCATCATTATCCCCTCCATCAAAATTTTTGTTGTTGTTATTGGGATGGGTGATTAAACTATAAGGGCATGAGTGTTAAGCTTCTATGCATCCAATAAGGGTAGGCATATTTAGAGTAGACGTAAACTCTAAGAGAAGAATAGGGGAAATAAGAGAGATTACTAGATTAGAAAAGGAAGAAAGCATAAATCTTATTTGTTTGAATTCAATTACAACATTTGAGTCTATTTATAGTGTTTACATAAACTGATTTTGGGTTTAATAAAGGGTTAGACTAGCTGATTCAATACAAGTAAAATAAAAGAATTAAAAATGGGTTTGAGACTAATTCATTATTGAAATAAATTGAATCATGAGCTGTTGTAGTTGGAGTGCCTCCAATCTTTGTTTGAAATATTTGCTCCCTTCTTCTTCTATGATAGACTTTTAACATTTTATTATTATGATGTTGATGTTTTTAAGTGTTCACCCTTGTTAATGTTGTTGTTATATTATCTTTGATTTCAAAAGAATATATTGTTGTTTAACACTGCGCCTATAATAAATTTGAAATCAAATCTAAATTCCTTGTAAAATAAGGGTAAAATCTCTTGATAGTATTTTATCGGTAATCAAAACTTGCTTTTGAAATTTTGATCCAAAATATTCTAAATTCTCGCAACAGAGCCGGTGCGTGAATTTTCTGTGCTCACAAGAACCTATATAATTAAGAATGAGTAGTTAGAATGGAGAAGTGATTCAAGATTGTTATAGAGTATGAGAATTGCAGGAAGACTTGAAGGTAAATTTTAAACCACTATAATTAGGCTGAAGATGTTGTATGAATTCTTCATAAGGTAGTAAAAAGGTCTTTGATAGCTAAGTTGTTTGTTAGAAATGAGGATGTTGATATGAATGAATGAAAAAATTAAGAAATATATATTAAGCAATGATTATATTAGATGAATGATGGGAGTGACATTTATTGAAAATATGGTTCTTGAAAATAGACTTACTTGGTTTTTACATGTATAGCAAATGATAGAAAATGCATACATAAGATATTCCAATAGAGGTGTGGAAAAGCTGTTGGACCTGATGATATTCCAATAGAGGTGTGGAAATGCTTAGGAGATTAAGGAATTTCATGGCTTACTAAACTTTTTAATACTATTTTGAAGACTAAAAAGATGCCAGATGAGTGGAGAATGAGTGTGTTAATTCCTATTTTTAAGAATAAAGGTGATGCACAAGATTGTGCGAATTACAGAGGTATTAAGTTAATGTGTCATACTTTAAAACTATGGGAGCGAGTTATGGAGCATAGGTTGCGGCGTGATACTAATGTTTCTCAAAATCAATTTGGATTCATGCCGGGTAGGTCGACTATGGAAGCCATACATTTATTAAGAGGTTTGATGGAGAAATATAGAGAAAATAAGGAGGATCTACATATGATATTTATTGATTTAGAAAAAGCATATGATAAAGTTCCAAGAGAAGTGTTATGGAGAGTTCTTGAAAAGGAAGGAGTCAATAATGCTTATATTCAAACATTAAAGATATGTATGCAGGAGCTATTACTTGTGTTCAAACACAAGGTGGATTGACCAAGTATTTCCCTATTTCGGTTGGGTTACATCAAGGATCAGCCTTAAGCCCATATCTTTTTGCTTTAGTCTTGGATGTTCTCACTAGACATTTGCAAGAGGATGTACCTTGGTGTATGCTTTTTACTGATGATATTCTTCTTGTTGATAAGACTAAAGAGGGAGTTGAAGGTAAACTTGAATTATGGAGGTCAACCTTAGAGTCTAAAGACTTTCTCTTGAGTAAATCTAAAACGGAATATATGGAGTGTAATTTTAGTAGTAATAGACCTAGTGAGGGGATTGTGACTTTGGACGATCAAGTCATTAATAAGAGTACACGTTTTAGATATCTTGGATCTATTGTTCAGAGTGATGGTGAAATAGATGGGGATATTATCAACAGAATTCAAGTTGGATGGTTGAAGTGGAGGAATGCATCGGGCTTGTTATGTGATAGAAATGTACCCCTCAAACTTAAGGGAAAATTCTATAAGATGATAGTGAGGCCTGCAATGCTTTATGGTGCCGAATGTTGGCCATTAAAAGAGAAGCATAATACTAAGTTAAGTGTGGCAGAGATGAGGATGCTCAGGTGGATGAGTGGCTTTACCCTTAGAGATAGAATACGAAATGAGCATATACGTGAAAAGGTTGGAGTAGCTCCAGTAGAAGATAAGATTAGAGAGAGACGCCTTAGATGGTTTAGTCACATAAAACGGCGGCCTTGCGATGACCCGGTTAGGAGAGTAGAGGTATTAGATTTGACTTATGTTAAGAAAGGTAGGGGTAGACCTAAAAAGACTTGGTTAGAAAATATTAGGAATGACCTTTCTTTATTAGATTTAAACGAGAATTTGACTTTTAATAGGACACAATGGAGAAAAAGGATTCATGTAGCCGACCCCACATAGTGGGATAAAGGCTTGATGTTTTTGTTTTTGTTGTATACATTATATGAGCAAATAAAATTAGATTTGGAGGTTTAGGAAGAAGAAGGGGTAGGCTTAAAATAACATGAATAAAATTGTTCAAAATGATTTGCAAAGAATAAGTTTAACAGCGTAGCTAACTCAACGAAGAAAAAATGATTGCATAAAGCTGACCCCAAATAATGTAGTAATACTAATGATGATGATGATAATATCTCCCCTTTGAAAAATATTTTCCTCAACTCTATTAGACCTTGAAAAAAACTGGTGAAATCCAATTTGCATGGATGGCTCAAATGTGATTAAATATTCATAATTCAGTATGATAATTTATTAGCATCGGTCCTTTCCAAATCCCTCGGCAAAGCATTTTCATATAAATTATCGAGCATTTTCATGTAAAACACAATTATATTATCTTTGACTTTACTAGTTAGCTTTTATTTTTTTAGTATTTGTATAATGCTATAACTTTCATGCAATCAAAAGTAATAAAAAATTAATGACAGAAGGTGATTTAAAGATTTATTTTCATGCTAATTATTATGTTTCTACTTGTTTAATTATGTGCATTGCACTTACACCGTGATTACTGGTTAATGTTTTGTTTGTAATAGCTTATACTTTTCTATTTATGCTTTTAGGCTTTGTTTGGGACAGCTTTCTTACTGTTTCATAAATCAAAAAAAAATTTTAGTATAAAAATTTTCCTAAAGCTCACTTTTCCACTACAGTTTTAAATATGCTTTTCAAAAAATAACTTTTTAAAGACATAATTTTAAAAAAATTATATAAAAATTGTCCTCCAATCATATATTATTTTTTACTAACTATTTTTCTTAACATAAAGTAGCAAAAAAAGGTGTCCCAAACTAGCTAAATGTGCTTAGTGGAAAGAGGGGTGAACATCTCGACAACAACAGTTTTTTTTTTGGTGCTAAATTTGTTAGTAAACATTCTGTAGAATGTAGCATTGAAAACTGAACCATCTGTGTTTTGAGTCCTGTCAAAATGTTAATTCAAAATACCATTTGTATGAGCTTGAAGCATCGTTTTATACACATCCTACCTAGTATGTTCAATGGTTCACCTTTATGTATCGAAGCCAACATCTTTATTCTAGTATTGAAGATAACCATACCACATTCTCTTTGGCTTTATTTAACAAATCCCCATTTGGGTAATTCTTAGAAGCAGATTTTCTCCCATTGTACAGATTCTATTGAATGTCAAACAAAGGAATTTTTCTAAAGGATAGTGCCAGTGACGATTGGCAAGAGAAAGATCAATCAATAAAACAACGCCAAAGAGTGATTATTGACGAGCATGCAGTTTTCATCCTGTGCGCTCATACTGCAGCGGGAGAACCGGCTGCATCTTTGTTGTGTAGCTGCCCTAATCGCCCTCATCATCTTGGTGGCCACGCCAAGGATCCCCCACTCACCCAACCAACACATGTTCGCTGACATGCGTAACTTCCTAGGTTTTTTGTTCGGGCTTTGGATATTGGGGGCCTACTTCAAATTTTTATCTTTTTATAATCTCTTCCTTCTACCAATTTCCTCTCACTTTAATTTTTTGGGTTTTGATTTTTCTCCTACCAGGAGTTCCCAACACCCTCAATGTGCTCACGACGTATCCGTACCTGTTCTTTGGTGTTCCTGGTCTAGTTTTCTGCCTCTCCGGTAGTTGTTTTGGCATCAGGTATTGGCTCTTCTCAATTGTTATGTCTTTCACGTGGATTGCAAATTGCCATAGTTTATTAGTAGTGATTATTGGCTTTGTTATGTAGCTTGAAAGGAGAAATCTGGGGATGGGTTTTGTTCTATTCTGGGATTGCTGCAGCAGCATTTGGATCTGCTTATTACCATTTGAAGCCAGATGATGATCGAATTATTTGGGATAGATTGCCGGTATGGATTTTTCGGTGTTCTTAAGACTCTTATTCTATGGTATATTTTGATCATCGACTAAATCTTTTGGACATGGTTAGAATACTTGTTTGCTTCTATTGCAACATTTCTTTTCTTTTCTTTTTCTTTTTCTTTTTGAATATTTGTGAAACGTGAGACTATGAGAAAATATGAAGAACAATTTTAGGTTTATTGTGGGCCCGTATAGAAAAACAATGAGATAACAGAGTGCTTTTTTATTTAATCTTTAAAATATTGAATTTTTTTTAATTTAAAACGAAGCAAAACTTGATATTATGCTATAATGTTTTTACAACTTGCTTCTTGTAGTTGTTAAGTACATTTGTAAATATGTTTTATGCCTTTTTTTCTGAAAATCAAAGTATTTTCATGGTTAGGAGGCTTTATTGATACTTGTATGAGTCTAGGTGCATGTGTCAAAGTCTAAATCAATTTGATTCAGGGAACTTAATGTTTAGTCCTTCTATTTGTAGGGCCTTGAAATGTGGAATGAGAGCATTTATGATTTTCTTTTTTAACTAAAACCAGGTTGATAATTATGTTCACAAGTTGAAACTCATTTGATAATTGCTCAAACTTTAATCGTCCCAATATCATAATTGATTTGCTTCAATTTAAGGATGGCAGTTCAAAATTTAAAATTTGTTACATGTGCCTCTGCGTACCTTGTGTTTTACACACAGAAAAACATTCAAATGAGTTCATATAGTCATAAACACTTATTATGCACATCTATGTGTGTTCTATAAACATATGTTAAATGTAAAAACTTGTGCATGCACCGTGTCTCTTCACATGCATGTGCGCTGGTGTATATATATATATATATATATATATATATATATAGAGAGAGAGAGAGAGAGAGAGAGAGGATCTTTAAATATAGTTCACATCTTAGCTTGAACCATGTTATAATTCAACTTGAAATCAATTATTAGTTACTTGACTCAAACATGAATCAAGCCAAAATACTCGACTTGAACATGAATCAAGCCAAAAAAAAGTATGAGATTTCAAGTTGAGGCCAAATCTCTTGAAATAAATTCAATGTCCCCCCTAGACAAGAACAAGGAAGAAGTAAAAGAAGGTGAAGGATGTTAGGTTTTTGTGCACGTGATCTTTTTCTCATGCACAACACACTAAAATATTTTGCAATCAATTTGTGAGATCTTTAATTTTGTACTTGTAGAATCTACTCTTGTATAAATGCTTGCATCTTCTGCTTGATATCATGCAACTTAACAGGCAACAATATTTGGAATTTTGAAAGATGATAGTGGAGAAAACAAGAATAATCTGGCTGTTTTCCTAGAAGATTTTGTATAATGTGTCGATATAACTGAATAGGGAATAAGAAATTACTAACCAAATCTCAAAGCACACACAAAAAAAAAAAACACTTCCGATTCTATTTCTCCAAAGGATCAGCAATATCATTATGTAAACAATGTATGCTAAAAAACATTGGAAAAATTATCAAAAACAATTTAACCGTTGACATATGACATATGCCTATATCTTGATGGAAATGTTCGCCAAATATTGAGATTCAAAGGAAAGACGAAAAATGTTATTTTGAGAAATTATTAGATGAGAATTTCAAAGAAGAAATCTTTTTAGAAAAGCATACTAATAGAATTATGAAATATAGTATAGATTGATTTAAAAAAGAGAACTTGAGCTAGCTTTAAAGAAGATGAACAAATGTAAAGCTTCAAGTCCAAATAAGATGCCTCTTGAGAATTGAAAAGTCATCAGGGTTATTGAAATTGTTTAGCTGAAAAATCCTTTCAATGTAATATTAGAGACCAAGTGGATGTCAAATGATTGATAAGAAGCATTTTGATATTAATATTTAAGAACAAAAAAGATGTTTTAGAATGCTACTTGCGAGTCGTAAACTTTTTTTCTTGCCCCTCTTTTTCAAATTTAGCTCTTTCAGGCTAATTTTGAATCATTATTCATGGTGCTACGTATGCGCCCATTTTGCATCCATAACCATGCGAATTGGTTTCGATGATGTTTCTACTGTTCATGTATTATTTTATTACTCATATTCAAATTATTCTTCACCAAATTTTGATAAAACTTCTAGATTATGCGTTTTTATTATTTTGTTCAATAATGATCCCAAAAAATTTTTTAATCTTTCTTGCATATCCCTGCTCTTCAAACTACTTGATTCCTTTTTTTCTTCAATCGGCTATATGTTTCAAGTGCATGCTCCAGAGCCACTTGCCCTTATTTTTATTTATATGTTCTTGTTGAAATGTTACTATCTGAAATCCTTTGTGGTAATATTTTTTTTTATGCAGATGATGATTTCTACTGTTTCTCTTTTGTCTAACCTGGTTATTGAGAGATTGGATGAGCGTGTTGGAATATCTTGTTTGATTTCTCTGCTGATGCTTGTTTTTATTAGTGCCACATTTGAAAGGTGGGCTACCTTCTCTACATATTAAGAGATTGGATGAGCATGTTTGTCTTCTTAATGACTGAAGAAGACTAATTTCAGTTGTTTGATTGTGCGATTTCAGGACCTTTGATGACCTTAGGTTGTGCATGATCTTCCATTTTATTCCGTGCATTGCAATCCCAATATTGGTTTTCTTGTTTCCACCCAAGTATACACATTCAACATACTGGTTCTGGGCAGCAGGTGGAACTCCTAATCCATTTAATCTTTTTTTTTTCAGCTTGCATTTAGTTTTTTTCCTTTTTTCTTCTAATTTAAGAATGCCATTGTCGTGAGAATTTTGGCTGCATCACTTTTATGCAGATGAAATGGTCTATTTTAACTTATTATTTCCATCTTCATCTGTTAGGGATGTTAAGGGTCATTCTGGTCATGATATATATAACTTCTGATGCATGAGGTAGTTGGCCGTAGGATGATATGAAACTTCTCATTTCTCTAGCATATCGTTAACTAAAGGCATGTCATATACAGTAATGCAGTAATAGTAGCATGTGAGTGTTACCTTTGGTACCTGTTCCAACCATTTCAAAAAGAAGCTTTCCTTTAGCGTCTCCTTTGAATCTCCCGATCCTTGAGATAGTTTAATATGCTTGGTGATAACCTTTGACTTTCTAGCTTGCATAGTAACGATTAATTACTCTGAACAAATTTCTGTGATTGTGGTACTTCATAACTTGGTGCAATTTAGGCTTCGTTTGGGGTAACTTTCTTCATGCCTCTTAAAGCGGCTTTAATTTTTTTACTAAAAAGCCGCTTTAAGAAGCAGTAAGTCATCCCAAACAAAGCCTTAGTCTCTAATTAATCAACCTTAAAAATGTGCATGATTGACATTTTCAGTTTTAATTGTTATATACTTGCATCCATTATCTTAATGTCAGATGAATAAGTTTTTTTTTTTTTTTTTTTAATGTCAGATGAATTTTTTTTAAATGTCAGATGAATAAATTGCAAAGTAAGAAGATAAAAATTAGGGTTTTGTAGTAGTGGTATTAATTATTGCAATATTGTGATGGTACACCAATATTTTTTATGTTTAGAGTGTCACACTTGTAAATTGCTTTATTTTTAATAATTATTTCAATAAATTCTTAGAATGTTTTTCAAGATCTTTTCACATATAATAAGATACTTCCATACACAAGAATTATAGCAGATGGACTTGGGATCTTCAAGTAGAAATATAACTACTCATAATGTTCTTATAACAAAGTTATTATTGACTTGATTCTTTGAACACCAAATAAATATTAATACTTTATAAAGATAAGCTTGATTAATAATATGAGCAAAAAAAATATGAAGAACATCTTTATTGGAGACTATTATGCTTCTTTTACCTCTAAAATGTCTTAGTGAAAGAAGGAGAGGGGGCTGACCTTATAAGCTTGTGTTGAGATCCCATACTACCCAATCGTAGACTCTCAAACTCTTTACATGGGCCTAATTAGCCCAACTTGACCCAATTGATCCAGCAAGTCAAGATCAACTAATGACGTAGAGCTACCCTTCTTTATCCTAGATGACCCATAACAATCCTCAGGAGCTTTGATAGACTTTACGTGGCTTCAGTTAGCTTGAGGGAGTCTCAAGCATCCTTAAAAAAGTCCAAATCTCTTAGCATGGGCCTTGGATTGCCCATCTGCTTTTAGTTGACCTGTGTGGGTTGCCGTTGACTTGAACAGTCTTAGATTGTCCAATTCAACTCTAGCTCCCTCAATAGGCTCAAAGTGCTGAGATGGTCTTATTTTGAACCATTTAAGCTCTGTAGGACCGTTGTTTAGCTCAATTGATATAAGATTCCAATTATTGTACTGGGTTAAGAAAAATTAGTTAACATAAATAATACTTGCCTTAATCTAAGCACAGTTAGCCTATTATCTTTTTAAACTCTTGACAAGTTTAAATTGTCTCATGATCATACCTAATTGTATTTCTTAAGATTCAGTATGCTTTATGGCCTAGTCCAATTAATTTGTTGTGGTCTCAGGATAAACTAGTATGGCCCTGATTGGTGCAATATGACAATAATTTGCTTGAGATTACCTTAAGAAAACGAACAAGTATCAATTGATTTTGCCTTATCTTGTAGACATCAAAATGGTTCCAAACTTCCAATTGGCCTATAAGGACTTAGATGACACCCCCTCACACACCCACCTAAACTAACCATACAAGCACATGTTTAGAGCCCATATTACCTAACCTTTGACTTTAAAGCCCTTGATCTTGGCCCTAACTGATCCAATAGGCCAAGGTCAACAAATGAGGTGCAATTTTACCTTCTTTGTCCCACATGTCTTACAAAAACCTATGTTTAGAGCCATACTGCTCCAAATTCTAAAATCGTTTATCCAATCCCAACTAGCCTAATTGACACATGTCAAGGCTAGCTAAGGAGGTGTAGGTTTGCTTTTTAGAGCCAATACTTCTTAACCCAAACTCTAAAATCCTTAATCCAGTCTCAACTAGCCCAATGGACACATGGCAATGCTAGCCAAGGAGGTGTAGGTTTGCTTCTCTCTTTGTCCCAAATGACCCTAAAAGTTTGTGCTTAGAGGGCATGTTACACTACCCCGTCTCTAAAGCCCACAACCTAGGCCCGACCGACCCAACAAGTCAAGAACCGTTTTTGAAGTGCAGTTCTTCCCTTCTTTTATTCTAGAATCCTAGATGATTTAATTAACTCAAACTAGCTTAATGGGCTCATATTACCTCAAATTTTGTCCTAAGATGATTGAAGCTAACTAATCTGACTTAATAGGAATCCTGGTCAAGTCAGTTGACCTTTGATTAGTTTAATTATTGGAATGGGCTAGACAAAAAATCAACACAGACTTGATCACCTCATATGTAGAGGAACTCTCATGAGCTAACTTATTTTGTCCCTTGGCTTTGTTTACATACAATAGGCTAAATTGACTCGTGGACAGACCTACTGGAATCCCTAAGCATCCAACTGACCTATGGCCTAGCCTAATTAATTTATTTTGGTCTTAGGTTAAACCAATGTGGCCTTGTTTGATGTAACATGACCATGTTGACCCCTAAAGCAAATTTAAAAAAAATACCCTCAGTCGAATACCGACCTTTAATAGGACACAATGGAGAAAAAAGATTCTCACGTAGTGAGATAAAGACTTGATATTGTTGTTGTTGTTGTAGTCGAATACCAACCCAGCCCCATTTCCACTCTGCTGCAGCCGACCGCACTCAATCTGAACTCTTCAAGCCACAAATCCGCAATGCCTCTGAATCTCCTCACCAAACCGATCACACATGCCCTCTATCCGATGACCTAGCCGCAAGCCACCTTCAATCTCCTGTAGCTGACTTCCTCCATCCCAAACAGCCCTCCTACTCTCCAAAGCCCAACAACAATCTTCCTCTCCTAAATCTAAGCCCATTGCAAAAGCCGACAGCCTTCTTTACCCACACTGTAGCCCATTTGCAAAGGTCCATCTCCCCTAACACCTCAAACAGCCCAACCCTTCCCAAAATCAGCCCAACTTACTATCTCTCTATACTTCAAATAGCCCGAGGGTAATCTCTCTTCATTTCTCTTTGAGTTAATATTAGCACTAATAATACTTGTTATTAAATTCACTGTCAATGCTATCACTATTATTGTGATTATTATTGTTATTAAGATTTAAAAAAAGAAAAAAGAAAAAAGGGTAGTGTAATAAAATCTATGTAAATATATATAAGAGAGAGAAAAGGATGAATTTTTGTACATCCATGTCGTCATTTTGACACAGTCACCATCATCGCTAATCCTTGCACAGGTAGAACCATACTTGTCAAAGGCGAATGGCGCACCATGGTGCAAAGTTTCTCGCGGAGCCATGGCGCGTAGTGCATGGAGCGGCACTTGCCATTTTGAACACGACTCAAAATAAAAAAAAAATTATAAAAATCATTATATGGATCCTGTTTTAAAATATCAATCAAGTTGGATAAGGCTTGATTGAATATGTTTGTGATCCAAAGTCCAAACAATTAAAGCGAGCTTCAAGTTCGTCCAAAATCTCTACTAAAATAATTGCAATGCTATTCCCCAAATAGAAAAAATAAAAAGCACCATTCAAATCCTACTATTTTAATCATATCAAATAATTTTAAAATTAAGTCTAATAAAACCTAACTAAACTATTTTAATCATAGCAAATAATTTAAAAATTAATTATTACATTATTTTTAGAAATTAAAATATATAACTATTATTATTGCGCCATGTGCCATGGTGCACACATGGCTTAAATGGCGCGTGCCAACTTGAACATCTGCGCCGCATCATGCAGTTATCGTCGTAGGTGCGCCGCGCCATGCGCCATAGTGCATGTCATTTTACGTCATTGACAAGTATGGGTAGAACACTTCCAAACTCAAAAGC